CATACATACATACATACATACATACATACATACATACATACATACATACATACATACATACATACATACATACTCTGCCCATCCTGCCTAAGCAATACTGGGAGGGGGGGGGCTAACTGCAGTTCAAAACACAACCACCCACTCCAGCCCACTGACACATTAATAATAAGATCCAGACCAAAATAATGATACTCCCAAATATAAAATAACCGTAGATGGCTAACCAAAACCAATACCCAATTAATAGATCCACTAAAGTGTCTGAGGGGTAAGATGTTTATGAAGGCCTCTTCAAACAGTATTGGCTTTACCCATTGCCTAAAGCCCAGAAGGGAGGGAGGCTGGTATATATCAGCAGGTAATACATCCCATAATGTTGCAGCCACCTCTGAGAAGGTCTGGTTCCTGGTGTTAGTTTTCCAGATCTTCCCAGCGGTGGCCACCTGCAAACGCAAAACCTGACAGGACCTGATGGCCTGGTTGCGCAATCGTAAGGAAAGACACTCCTTGAGGTAACACCACTTGACTCTTGAACACTTTTTCTTCCTATGTCTCAGAACAGGTGAGGAAATAGTTCTCCCAATCTAATCAGAACAGTTCACATAAAAGACTCCTGTGAAAGTTTATTTGGAATGAACTCCCATGGTATATGATAGGTCTCACTCCTTGGCTTAGGGTTCCAGCCACAATCTATGGAAAGGCACATGAAATTCATATGAAATTACAGGTGTTGTTGTTATGTGCCACCAAGAAGCCTCTGACTTATGGTGACCCTATAAATGAGGGACCTCCAAAATGCCTTGTCCTCAACTGCCCTGCTCAGCGCTTGTAAACTCAAGACTGTGGCTCTCTTTAAGGATCCAGTCCATCTTGTATTTGGGCTTCCTCTACTACTTGAGAATATTTAAGATTTGATCAGACTTTGTTGTTATTTTGCTGTGATAGACTTACACAGCTACCCTGGTGGAATTTTCTGGGGCAAACTGACTTTAATACCTTGACTTTTTCATCTCTAAACTGAGCTGCGTCTAGAATAATGGTGGATATGGAACAGGAAACCCTTCATGTGTGTCCTTAAGGAGGTAAAGATCTTTCAAGGCTTGCAATGAGGCGAGTATAAATCATAAACAATACTTAAACTCTGAGACAGAGAGCTGCGTTGAAAGTATCAGCCACTAAGTTCAGTACAAGAAGGAACACATTGTCTAACAGAGTTACAGTCACACAAGGCAATTATGATACATTTCTAGTCGAGTGTCCTTCTCTGTGTTGTATTTTGAGAAATTACGTGCAAGAACTGTCTATATCATGCATAGAAGATATAATACCTCTTAGTACAAAATGTTGCCATTCCCCCCCCTCCCTTTTATGGGAAGAAGAGGAATGGATGAAGAAAAACAAGACTGTGGACCGTGTTCATGACCTTGCCTTTGAGCGCCACCTAGTGTGAGGCCCTCTTCCCACCATGTCTGCAAGGCCAGGTAGGAGACGGGCGTAATCACACCTTGGCGCCAGGCTCTTCAGTCACGTAAACCAGCAAAACAGTAATTAAAAACCGCAACACTGCGAACACACACAATCTGCTGCCCTCAGAAGAAAGAGACACACCTGTGTGGTGGAGGCAACTTGTCGCAACAGGGACTTTAGTGGAAGGCAAGTTGATCTTCGGGAAAAACAATCATATAAAACCCATTTTATTTGTTTCATTTAAAGTACTTGATTAAAAAGTGAGCCCGTCGGCCAGAATGCAAGGCACTCTTATGTTTCAAGAAGACGCCAAGAGTGGGCTTCAGTCGTCCTCCAGGGATTACTGTAGTCATCAGCCTCACTTGGCTGCAGGGGGCCTCTGCCCCCAAAGTCAATGGCCACTGGCCATTACGGGCCAAGTCACCTTGGACATTTGTGTATGATGGTTTTGCCCATGTATGTGGGTCGCTCGTTCAGGGAAGGGCATGTGAGAGGCCAGCAGTTCTTCAGGAGCACCTCTAATTCCAGATGTTATGAAGTCTTTAAGGATATATAAACATTTAACTAGATTGAGAACTCTCACTCCTGAATGCTTCACCCTTTCTTTCCCCAAATCTAATTGTCCCTTTGATGCTTACTGAAAGTATTCCTGCTGTCCCCTTTCACCTGAACTCTTTTTTTTACCTCTTCCTTCATTACTTATACCTGAAAGCAGAACCCCTGGGGAGGGGGCTATATTGTTTTAACTTTGGTTGGTGTAACTTTTGGGAGGGGCAAAGGGGGCAATTGTATTTAAAAGGATCCTCCTGTTACCATGAAAAGACTAAATGCATCAGGATACAAATTGGCTGCTGCTTGCATAGATGAATGGTTTAATTATCTGGCTGCAGAGCCCAAGATGAGAAGTTTGATTCCCCACTGGGCCTCCTGAGAGAATAGCCAGCATGCGTGACCTTGGGCAAGCTGCACAGTTCCAGTGAATAATAAAACATGTATCTACCTATAAAACCCTGAAAAGGTTTGACATACGTCAGAATTGACTTGATAGCATACAATTATTATTACATATGGATTGGCTAGCAGGGTTAGCAAACCTTGGGCACTCCAGATGTTTTGGTCTTCAACTCCCAGAATCCCTAGCCTGTATTACCAATGGTGTAAGACCATGGGAGTTGTAATCTAAAAAAACATCTAGTGTGCCAAAAGTTCATGAACCCTGGGAAAGAACTGTATTATGGATGGATGGATGGATGGATGGATGGATGGATGGATGGATGGATGGATGGATGGGCTGACAGATATCCAATGACCAAGGATAAAAAGAGGAAGTGCCACAACAAAGTGACAAGTCAAATCAAATTTAATTTCATTTTCAAGTTACAACTGGAGAATATTTAAGAGGCCACAGTCTCTGTAGACCATCTTGATTCAATGGGAGAACTCAGGGATCTTTCCTTCACTCTCCTTACTTGCTGCCTTCTCCGTTTAAGGACTCTCAGACTCAGAAATAATTCCTTTAAAATAATCTCCTTTAAAACAAACTCTTTTGTTTTAATTTGTTTTAATTTCCTTTAAACAAGCTCTTTTGTTTGAGACTGCTTCATCTCTCCTTTGCCATGTAATAGCCAGGTTCTTTGTGGCTGGGATGGGTCAACTTGAAAGCCATGTCTTTCATCCGAATGGAAAGGGAGTTGGTTGTTGTGGGTTTTTTGGGCTCTTTGGCCATGTTCTGAAGGTTATTCTTCCTGACGTTTTGCCAGTCTCTGTAGCCGGCATCTTCGGAGGACTGGAGTAGGAACTCTGTCCATGTTCTGTTGCTGTTTGTTGGATAGCTGAGTATTTATAGCTGTGGGAAACAGTTTTTGTCTTTTTTCAGAAGATAGGGTGATCAGCATGTTTTTGTTGCGGATAAGAGGAGGGGAGAGATTATTTGTCACTGTGACTGATCGGTGTCGTTAGCTGGTCCTTTTTGTGCAATGATCCCTGGCCCGTGTGGCTGGGTAGAGTTCGTTGACCTTTTGCAGGTTCTATTTTTCAGAATGGGGTGCCAGGCCATGTTTAGTTTTCTTTCCTGTTGAAGTTCTGATTTTGTTTATGGATTTCAATGGATTCCTTGTGCAGTCTAACATAATGCTTGCTGGTGGTGCCTCGCATAATGAGCGCACCGCCGTTTAACGACGAATCCGCATAGCAATCTATTTTTTAGATCGCTAATGCGATCGCATTGCGATGTTTTAATGGGCAAAACATCACATTGAAATGATCAGTAAGCATTTCGCTTACTGATCTTCGCATTGCAATGTTTCTAAAACAGCTAAACGGCCAAAATGGCCGCCGGGTGCCCAAAATGGCCACCGCAACCATTTTCGCGCGGTTTCCTCGCTTACCAAGGGCACGAAAATGGCGGCACTATGGAAGAACTTCGCATAATGGTGAGTTTGGGCCCCATA